TAACATCTCTAATAGGGCTTTATACTGATACAAAAATCTCTTTTTGTTGACTGTATGACTCATCTATTTTAACCCAAAATCCGAAGAGACCACGGTAATGAAAAGTATAAAAGGAACCAGGAACTTGTAGTTAGAAGTTCGATCAACAACCATGACCAACCAAAATAACTTTGAAAAAATATTAGAAAATGGAATTTATATTCATGAGCAAGTAAACAGTTTAAGACAAAGGTACAACAAGAAAATACAAGGATTTGATGATATCTTTGAAGAACTGCAAAGACTCTGTAAAAATACATTAAAACTTATTTCACAATGGAATCAATCTGATATGACTACAAAAAGCTTTATTTGTGCAATAACAAGTATTAAAGGAATGCACATAATTGCATTAGGAGAAGTGATACAAATAGGAATAAAGTCAGATGCAATCAACAACCAATTAAAAGAAAATAATGAAAGGGTAAAAGAAATACACCAACTCTTAAGTGAAGAATTGAGACAAGTAGTTGAATTTTATAAACAACAACGAGTTGATCATTTAATAGAAAGTATAAAAGGTACTAAGAAATGATAGAACAATTGATAAAAAATGGAACAAGAAATAACCAAAAAACTTACTGCTAAATGGAATGTACCCAAGGAAATTTTAGAGGAAATATGGGAACCACAACCAAAGACTATAGAAAAGCTAGATGACTTAACAGTCAACCAGTGGTTGAATAAGTGGGAAATTTTTGGAAAACAAGAAATACTTAAACACAAAGATAAATGGGAGAACCCTAGGCCAATAACTTTGGAAGAAATGATTAAGAAATCATGGGATACAGAAGAGAGGAAACCAACAGAAATTAATGGAAACAGTGGAAAAATTACAAATACCTCAAGAAAAATTTAGAAAAGCAACAAATTTTTACAAAAATAATGACAACTATTGAGGAAATCCAAATAATAAAAATGTATGGTTTAGGCAAAAAGGACAGAATCAATTTTAAAACACAAAAACTAAAAGAATTAAGAGAAAGAATAAAAGAAGAGATGGATATTATGATAGATATTGAAAAGGAATTGGCAGAATTAATAGAAAAAAGGAACAATAGTATATTTTTTAAGGATTATTATCAAAAGAAAATATCAGAAAAAGAAGAAGAATGGTATAACTTGAAATACCCTGAAATTGAAAGAAATATTGATTAAACGGAAAGGATTTCACATTACAAAAAGTATAAAAAGGGGACAAAAACAAAACTCTAGGACAATAATAACAATTTCAAAAAATGATGACAAAACAAACTATGGAAAAAGATCAACAAACAATTCTAGCTATAGGATATGGTGTTAAGGAAATAATAGAAAATACAAAGCAGGAATGCGAACACATAATGACTGATACTACAAGAAGAAAAATTGATAAACTGCAAGAAATCAATGATAGGACATTATTAGATGCCCAAAAATGGAATGAATTGAACTTTTTAGAAAAACTTTTAGTAAAATTAAAAATAAAATTCAGGATTATATATATCATGATACTAGGGATCTCCTTGAAAAAATCTTTTAAGAAAGATATACTTAAAAAACAATTGGAAGAAAACATGACAATAATGCAAGAATTTCTAAATAACTCTGAAGGAAAGGAAACACAAAAGGAATTAGAAAAAGAAAGAGAACTAACCATAAAAGAATGGTATCAAGTACTTAAAGAAGTAGAAGAAGATGGAATAACCATTGACATGGAAATATTAGAATAAAAAAAATTATAAATACCACCAACAATAACAACAAGTACCAAAAATAATAACAACATAACAAAAATGAATCGAGTAATAAAAGACAAAGATCTTGTTAAAACTATTCAAGAAAAAGAACAAGAAATAGCAAAGTTGGAAGTAAAACTCAAGAAAAGGGATGATCAAAGAGAAAAAAGAGAAAAAGAAGCACTCGTAGAACTTGAAAAGATAGAAAAAAGTCTCTTAACATACAAAGAAAAGAAAAGACAGCTGAGAAATGAACTGAAACAAGAAAGAGAAAAAACCGAATCACTTCAACAAACTGTAACAAAACTGAATGAAAGATTACAAAAAGAATCAAGAGAATTTGGAAAGATATATTGGAAAATAGAAAAACAAAATGAAGAATTAAAAGAAGAACTGATAAAAGAAAAAGAATTGAACACTTTGACAGGAGGATTTAGGACACAAGAAGAAGAAAACATAGGAATAGATTATAACCCAACTAACAATATTTACCAAATAAAAATAGATGAAGATATAGAAAAAATTACATTAACAAAAGAAGGAAAAAGAATCTTATCAGAAGAAGAAGATGGCATAGAAATACATATATGGCCAGGACTATATGACCAATTACAAAAAGATAAAGATGAAGTAAGAAAAGAATTAATTCTATTACTAAATTACAAAGAAGGGGGAATTTCAAAAGATACCCTCATTAAAAAACTTGCAAAAGAAATAAAGCAGTTGAGAAAAGAAAAACAACAACTAAAGCAAAAGGTAAAGAAACATAGACTGATGAAAGATGGGTTGAAATTATTAAGAGAACCACAATCAGAAAAGTGGAAAACCCAGAAAGGACTAAATCCTGCAGAGCATACATGGATCTTTAGATTTGAAGAACAATATATGAGAAATATGGATATGTTCTTAGAAGGAGTATGCCCAGAATGTTATGACCAAAA